AGAAAAATATTCTTCACACTGTGACCCAGTGCCAGGTGGTCGGTCGCCGGTCCCTCCCTCCCTCCCACCCCCCACCAACCCTCCCTACCAGATGAATGTGTGGGAATACCAGACTGTCTACCTTTTTAGTAATAAATAATAAATCAGACTAAAGTTAGGATAACATAATTGACATTGCTGGATTCCTTGTAAGACCACGAATATTTTGAATATAAATGTCATATATTTTGCCCAAAAGATAACATATTTACTCAGAGTAAACATTATATCTAAAATTTGTATGTCTAATGCAAAATCTATGATGTTTATATTCAAAATGATCATAAAATTGTAAGAATTCCAGCAATGTAAATTATATTCTGGCCGGAAAATTTGTATGAATTTTATGAGCTAAATAAAAAAATTATACTTCACCCGCGTAAAGGGGTACACCCACCGCGGAATGTGAGCATCCTGGGTTCTGCAACGTAAAGGGGTACACCCACCGCGGAATGTGAGCATCCTGGGTTCTGCAACGTAAAGGGGTACACCCACCGCGGAATGTGAGCATCCTGGGTTCTGCAACGTAAAGGGGTACACCTATCATGAATGAGCATCCTGGTTCTGCAACGTAAAGGGTACACACCGCGTGAATGTGAGCATCCTGGGTTTCTGGCAGGGCACGTGTAAACGTGGAACGCGGGAATGTGGGACCGCAGAAGTGAGGGAAGGACTGGTATATATATATATATATATAATATATATATATATATATATATATATATATATATATATATATATATATATATATATATATATATATATATATATATATATATATATATATATATATATATATATATATATATATATATATATATATATATATATATATATATAAATATTAGTATGTTCAATTGGTTCCAGAACCTGTCTGCCAGGCCTCATAATCCCAACACTTCACTGAAAACAAAAATAAAAATAAAAATAACAGGATTTACTGTTATAATTCACTGTATATATATATATATATATATATATATATATATATATATATATATATATATATATATATATATATATATATATATATATATATATATATATATATATATATAATATATATTATATATATATATATATATATATATATATATAGTGGGTGCTATAATCTAACGGATCCTACTACTTAATATTCCTATAACGTAATCTAGTTTAATTTATAAAATTGAGAATGCTATAAATCTAATGAACTCCTACAAATTAACAGTTAAAATATTTTTTTATTTTTTTTTATTTTTTACTAATTTATGTTTTTTTTATTACAAGTATTAATGATATTCTTTATTTCAGGGTAGATGCATATTATGCACTTTTTTACAATCTTACAATTTTATATTATATTTTCAGTGTTAAGTGGTTGTATTTGGGGGCTTGAACGATTAATCTTATATCTAATCTAATGCTATAAATCTAATATCCTATGGTATAATTAGATTCAGTATAGCATACCCCACTGTATATATATATATATATATATATATATATATATATATATATATATATATATATATATATATATATATATATATATATATATATATATATATATATATATATATATATATATATATATATATATATATATATATATATATATATATATATATCTGCGTAAATCACAATGACAACGTGATAAGATAAATCTTGATAAAATCACATGGAAGATGGAAACAACGGAGTACTCTTTTTCTTTTTATTCAAGACATCTTCAGAGGCAACTGGATTACATGGACAGAGATTAAATATACAGGATGTCATCATTTTGACCTTGACCTCATGTTTTAGGTCACTCCTGGAAATGCTATCTCAGTGACTTCCACCACCAAGCACTAGCAAGGTTTGGCAGGACTACTGCACCATCCTCGCATCGCCACCTCCTGCCCACCTCGCGAGTCCGCCTCCAACAAAATTCAGCCCATAAGAGCCCGTGACTGATAGATATAAGAATAGCACCATCCCATCTATTGTTAAAATAATCAACTCCTGATTTATGTAACAGCCTCTGTAATTGTATTGAATGCATATCATTGCCTCAAATCACATGTAAGTTTATATATTTTCAGCCAATGCATGTAATTCTTTAATAAACCGTTTATTAAAAAACACACACACACACACACACATCCATCCTCTCGGAGCAGCCAGGTCAACTAAGGTTGGCCCATACCAACCCTCCCTCCTGAACCCTCCCACCGGAATATCAACAAGTTCTCGCCAGAGTTACAATTTCATTTAGGAAAGGAACGGAACCAGTGTTAAACAGAGGTGAACAGTGGTGAACAGTGATGCCAAGCGTGAGAACAACTCAACAGTAACATTCTTACCCGTTAACCTTCACACAGTGAGGTTCCAGGTACCCAGTGATAACGGCCCGTGAGACCTAACAACAACCATCGGCGTGTGTTAATCCGCGCCTATAGAAGGCCTAAGACCACACCCCCACTCATATAACACCATCTGTGAGGGAATTACTACACCACATGTCCCTCATAACACCATATGTGAGGGAATTACTACACCACGCCAGGTCCTCATAACACCATCTGAGGGAACTACTACACCATGTGAGTTCCTCCTAACACCATCTGAGGAGTTAATACACTAGAGTTTGTTGTTCAACACCTACATTAATTCTGTGTTCACTGTATGTCTTTTACCTTTCTCTAATGAAGGCTTTTGGAAAACCACCAATGTATGTATAAAGTCATTTATGTCCAATGTATATTTTCAGCTCGGGCTGCAGAATTTTTCAACACACACACACACACACACACACACACACACACACACACACACACACACACACACACACACACACACACACACACACACACACACACACACACACACACACACACACACACACACACACACACACACACACACACACACACACACACACACACACACACACACACACACACACACACACACACACACACACACACACACACACACACACACACACACACACACACACACACACACACACACACACACACACACACACACACACACACACACACACACACACACACACACACACACACACACACACACACACACACACACACACACACACACACACACACACACACACACACACACACACACACACACACACACACACACACACACACACACACACACACACACACACACACACACACACACACACACACACACACACACACACACACACACACACACACACACACACACACACACACACACACACACACACACACACACACACACACACACACACACACACACACACACACACACACACACACACACACACACACACACACACACACACACACACACACACACACACACACACACACACACACACACACACACACACACACACACACACACACACACACACACACACACACACACACACACACACACACACACACACACACACACACACACACACACACACACACACACACACACACACACACACACACACACACACACACACACACACACACACACACACACACACACACACACACACACACACACACACACACACACACACACACACACACACACACACACACACACACACACACACACACACACACACACACACACACACACACACACACACACACACACACACACACACACACACACACACACACACACACACACACACACACACACACACACACACACACACACACACACACACACACACACACACACACACACACACACACACACACACACACACACACACACACACACACACACACACACACACACACACACACACACACACACACACACACACACACACACACACACACACACACACACACACACACACACACACACACACACACACACGGAAGTAAAACAGCAGTTTGTGTTGCAAGAAATCAGCTTTAGAAAGAAGTTTTGTTTAGCATCGGTTAGATTAAACGTTTGAAGACAATATTAGTATAAATTAATGATTAACAGGCAACTCTCATAAACAGCCTGCACACAGCTGTGTCTGATGCATGATGTTCTTTTAACATACTTACCGATTTTTACTTATGTTTATTTATCTAAATATAAATTCATATAGGTTGGCTCATTGTTCCATCCATTTTAAAATCAAATTAACAGTATATACTAGCAGAAAGGGATAATATAATGCGAAACAACAAAGCCCAACCATTAATTAAGAAACGGGGAACTAAGTAACCAATCACCGCTCACTTTTACATTCATTCATAATTTTTACTACGTAGTATAGTAAACAAACGGCCTTGAGTTGCCAGCTGTCTCCAGCAGTGTTCGAATAATCTTGAACGTGACTGTACACTAGTGAAGCTTTGTGTAAAATATGAAGAAAATTGGATGATGTCCTGCGAAACCTTTAGTTATTTCAGTCTCATAAAAATTCTAGCTCACCTCGGGGACGATTACAAGGAACTCCTTGTCCTGTCATACACCTTCTTGGGGGAAATTCCAGAGGGAGGTGTGAAGATCAGGGCATCTGGGGCTTTCCACCAAGCCAGATGGATGGCTTGGTGGGCATTATGCAGAAGCCTTCTTGGACCAATGTGATAATTAAAAAAGTAAAATTCCCTCCTTAATACTATGTGTAACAAATAATGTCTCCACTACACAAAATGCATTATGTCTGCACAATATCTGTACACTGTGGGGTTACCTCAGGACCACTGTGTAGTCCCTTGGGGATAACACAGAATCCCTAAAACCACTGTACGTTCCCCCCTTGATATAAATGGACATCATACATTACCCATATTCCTTAAGCCGAGCTCTTCTGCTTTATCATAAGGAAAATCCTAAGTCAATGAGCTTTCACATGTTAAATATGTAAGGAGATCACCTGGAGCAGACACATAGATAACTTTGCCTTATTTAATTGTATAGGTTAAGTTAGTAATATACAGTACCTGTACTTGAGTATTTTTACTTACCAATCTAACACAATCAGTGGCTAGGAGACAAGCTTTCAAATCTTCCCGAATACCAGCACAAGGTCGCTTGTCCCCAGTTTCTTGGACTTCTTCATAATACTTCATTGTAAACTCCTGTTGAAAATATAATATTAGAGTTTTTCTTAGTATTTAGGCCTGGTGCTCCAAATTCCAGAAAAATATAATTCTCCAATAATCCCCAGGTCCTAAAAATGCCAGATAAACGGTTCTATTCCTGTACTGTATAATGTACAGTATTGTACAGTACAGTATATGACAATGTTCCAAAAGTGATTCAACTATTGGTGTTCTTTGCTACAATTAGACTTAGGTTATTAATAGGACCTCAAAGAAAAAAGGGAAATATGGAGAAAAGACTATAGTATTTTCAATGATATACCAAAAATGTATACTGTGTATACAGTATACTGTATTGCTTAACAATTATTTGACATACTGTATTAAAATTAAAAAGATTTCTGAAAAACTCTTGATATCTTTTAAAATTTCAAAATCTAATGTTAAGAAGTGTTTTGAAATAATTAACTGAATGATTGCTTGTGGTAATTACATCCCTGGCAATGCAGCAGCTTAGGTCATATATTGCTGAATTAAGGGCTAAAAGACTAAAATCAATTAATGCAAGGTAAAAAAAAACACAGTAACAAATAACATATAACTTTCGTAAAAGAACATTTGAACGTTAATAGATAAAACTCAAAGCTTGTGTAGAAGGCCAGCTTACTCCACAAAGGTAAGGAAGTCCCCTCCCACGCTTTCTACACCCCCCAACATCAAAGAGAGATGGTAAGACCCGGTTCCCACCCAGCACCGGGAGAGGTGCTTACAATGAAGATCTCTGAGACTGGTGCACTCCACCAGGAGGTGTTCAACAGTCAATGGGACCAGGCAGTCATCACAATGGGGATGGCAGAACTTATTACTGGCTTCATATCAGAGGCAGGTAGACGGGAACGATGAGCCACAAGGCAAGAAGCATCAGCACGCTCATTCCCCTTCTCCCCCACATGGCCTGAAACCCAGTAAAAACTGACTTTCTGGCCCTGACACTAGATGAGAAACAGCCACTGTAATATATCTACATATAAGGGATGGGGCAATGAGACAATAGCTAAGGCCTGGAGACCACTACGATAATCACTAAATATTGTAAAATAGCTATGAGGTTGGATAAAAATAATCTTGAGGGCAAGTAAAATAACCGTAAAAATAGACGCCATAGTCGGTTCCCAGCTCAATTTTAGCTAGTGTCTCGTCACCAGAGGAGGATTAGTCGGCGTTTCTGAGGTAGTGTCCAGCCTGACCTGACATCTGTTGGAGTGTCTGGGACTCAGAGGTGGGTTCTGAAGTTAGCAAAGAGGTCTTGCTTTCTTCACAACAGTCAGATGATTCTATCATCAATACCTAGGCCAGAGAATTGTCCACCTCCAGAGACTCCGCAGACCCTTGTTAGCATCTCACTGAAATTTTTGTAGTACATACAGTACCACGATGGTGGGTTTAGGAAGATGAGGAGTAGCAGATGTGCCCACATGAACCTCAGCCACTAAAAGAGAAGTCTGAGGATTAGTGGCATAGAGTCGGGTGTGGGAGCTGAATTCAATACAGGTACGGATGATTCTCAGGGCGGTGTTGCAGCAACAGTTCGCCAACCCTTGTGTCGGGATAGAAACTGTACATAGGAATCCCCATGACTTGAGCTATATTTCAGGACTGTGTTTCTGGCTTCAGCAAAGCTTACTTTGTCTCTTGTGTGGATCTTTAGTATCTCTTTCTCAATTTGGAACTGGTCACATTCACTAGAAGAGGCCGGGTGTGCCTCACCAGAGTGAAAACAGCAGACCAGACCCAGACATTTCTGACCCTCATGAGCCTTACCACAGTTAACACATACTGCCTGGAACACCGTGCTCTAACTTATGACAAGTGCGGCTGACATGGCCATACATCTGACAATGGAAGCATCGTCTAGGGTCTGGGACATATTGTTCACCTTAAGAGAGATCCAGGCAACCTTGATAGAGGTTGGAATTTCAAAGCAATCAAATGTCAATAACAGAGTTGGTGTAGGGTTAAGAGCGCCATTCTCTTTCTTGCACAACCTGTCCACTTTCATCATCTATTGGTCTCGGAGCTCCTCCAGAAGCATCTCCTCTGAGTATCGAAGCAGCTCTTTTGAGAATACCCCCCCTCGACACTGGTTAAAGGTAGCATGCAGAGTACAGGAAACTGGGGCACCAGGTACCTCAGACAGGGTATGTAGGCAAGCACCCTCCTTGGGGGAGGAGACCTCCACTAGGAGGCTACCATCTTGTTGAGTGGATATTTTTGCTTATCTCCCACAAATTGTTACTATTGATCTGACCTGACTTTTTTTTGGGGGGGGGGGGGATTAGCCCACCCGGGCACAGGTCACTGACCCACATCGGGGCTGGGGGACGAAAATGTAATAATAATAAAAATAATAACAACAATAATAATAATAAAACACCTCTTCACATATCTGTTGAGACATTGTTACATAAATATTTGACAAATTTCATAACTGAATGACAGAACACATATCGAATGACAATCTAAAATAACTGTTGGTGGTATGTCATTCTCCAATTGTTACATTCTCAAACTATATGTAGACTGTCGGTTTATTGTTCACGTCTGTCAACTTCATAACTTAAGTCAATAACTTCCGTTAGCATGAACGAACAGTTATTTTAGATTGTCATTCGATATGTGTTCTGTCATTCGGTTATGAAATTTGTCAAATAGTTATGTAACAATGTCTCAACGGATATGTGAAAAGGTGTAATAATAATTCAATAATAATACTAATACTAATAATAATAATAATAATAACAAAAATAATAACAATTCATAGTAAATATGATTCATAATAAAAAATATAAAATTGAAAATAAAATAATAATAATAATAATAATAATAATAATAATAATAATAATAAAGAACCATAAAGAAATACAAAAATGAAAAGAGAACAAAAGTGAGAAACAATATACTTTATGTATGTTGTGCTGTCAATAGTAAGAGAAGAAATTGAGACCCTGCAATTGTGTAAATGAGGCAGAAAGTCAGATCAGCAACCTGGGACTTGGTCACAATTTTTGTGGTGACATATGGCAGCAGGGTCTACCATTACTATAGACGACACATTATGCTTCCAATATTTTTCCAGGCAGTAGTACCCCGTTTGGTAGCTGCCTACTACCTACTGTCGTCGTCTTCATAGAGTCACTATCCCCAATCATTTCCCAATGCCTTTGCTGGGAGATCTGTTGAAGAGTCTAGGTCAGAGTAAAGTTTTTTCAACCCTGGACTTGCTATCAGGTTTCTGGCAGGTACCATTGGACGAGGAAAGTCGACCCTTAATGGCCTTCAGTGCACCCCTGGGACACTGGGAATTCTTATGCATGCCTTTTGGTCTACATAGTAGCCCGAATACATTTTCTAGGTTGATGACAAGTACAGTAGGGTCAGGATATATCGCGAGACAGGGTTTTAAGGATGTTCGCTATATACTAAATCGCGATATATAATTACAAGTAATCAATGGGGAAAATAGGCCAATAAAAGTGACTAAATTTGACTTAACGAGTTCATTTTCTTACTAACTAAAGCACCAATGAACACTAGACTCGGGAACAACAGGCTACAGTATTTCAATATCAATATCAATATCAAGGAACACCAGACGCCACACTGCCACCCTCACTTGACAATCCCACACCTACATAAACGAACATCAAAAATATTAGTTACAGTATTAAATCTTTTCCATTAAGCTTTCAATTATCTTCACTTCACTTTTTACGTCATTAGCAACCCATTTACACTCGCTTTAGAAATCGTAATCTGCAGCAGTCGCAGTGCCGGATTTAGACCTGTGGAGGCCCATGGGCAGCCTCTTTGTGGAGGCCCCCCTCATTATAACTACCCAGGAGGGTGGGGTGGCAAGTGAAGCGAGCCTAAACATCTGGGAGTTCCGGGGGGCTTACAGTACCCCCGGGGAAAATTTTGAAATTTGAACACTTCTTTGGAGAATTTTGAAGCCATATGCAGTTATATTGAGGAAATTAGAACATTGAGAAATGTTTAATTAACTGTACATTTATTGATAGTGTACAAATTCCCAACACACACACACACACACACACACACACACAAAAGTGAGACATGACTGGAGTCATTCATGTGGTTTCAAGTCGACCAGCCCTGATATAGCTACTACCGCACATGTGGAGGCCCCTGGGCAGCTGCCCACTTTGCCCACTCCTGAATCCGGCCCTGAGCAGTCGGCTGCTTTCTCGTCACTCACTCAGAAAGACTGAGCGGGTAAGCGTGAGCAGCCACGGTGGAGCCTCTGGTGAGCAAATAACGCATTTGCTTGCCATAGCAGTACATTTAAAACATTTCCTGCCCAATTTCCTTTGTGAAATGAAATAAATTATCGCTATACTATATATAGGAAAATTTCTATAATTTTGGTAGCCGCAATATAAAAAAAAATCGTAATATAAAGTCGCGATATATCCCGACTTTACTGAATCTTTCGTTACATTTTAGGCTCTGAAGTTCTAGTGTATCTAGATGACATAATTGTCATGTCTCCAGACGTTTCCTCACACCTCGTGAGACTGGAACATGTGTTAGCTAAACTACAAGAGACTAATTTAAAGTTAAAATTTCAAAATGAAAGTTCTTACAACCTAGAATACAATATTTGGGGCATTTGGTTGACCTAGACGGAGCTAGTGTTGATTCTAGCAAATTTGAGGTCATCCGTAAATATCCTATACCACAGTCAGCTGATGATGTACGCTTTTTCATTGGTATGGCAGGTTTTTATCATTCCCATCATTTCTGCTACAACGCGTGCTTTGTCAACGCGAATTGGCTATAATGCGATTTCTGAATAGAAGAACGATATTTGTAAAACGCGAACACGTGTTGGCTGTAACGCGATTCCACTCAAACATTTTAAGTGTACTGTCGCTTGGTGCGGGGTTATGCAGTGTTTACAGTTCACGTTCGACATGGTGTATCACTCTGCCAACCTGCGAGCTTTAAAGGGTTAC